ATCTTCAATGTAAACCATGTAGGCATACTACAGGGCCAATCCCACTGTCAGTCATTTGGTGTGGTAATTAGGAAGGCGGTGTAGCGGGCAAAGGATGTCGAGGTTTGCACACACATGAAGGAGTAATTCACACATATGATTCTCCGGAGTTAAGGCCGAACGGGGTTGTCAATCACCACGACACACAACCGCATAACGAGAAGGAAGAAGAAAGAAGTAGCTACTAATGGGATATGTTACTAATAAAAGAGGTAGAAAGCGTTAAAGTGGGAGAAGATACGATACGAAGAGTTACCAAGGAACTGTACAAATGATCCATTTGGAGTGAGGTATGATCACAGAATATCAGCCAGACACCGGTGGGAGTGCAGCGCTGTGGGCAACCGCGGGTTAGAGTCATGGTGATGCTGACGGCAGGGAAACGACGATACGACTGCGACGGCGATACGGAACGGGGAAAAAGTGTCAGCAGAGAGAAAGAGAAGAAGAAGGAAAACCGGCATCTTCATCAACAGACGTTCAAACAATTCTCACCCGGATCCACGCAATAAGTGACCTTGGTACTTTTAAACACTCATGGTTCGGGCTGGCCGGTTACAGCCTATACCTACTGTTTCCCGCTTTAACTAAACGAAAAAAATTATTCAATAACATACACATTCTGAAAAAGGGCACATTTAGTTAGGGAACCACAAATATATAAAGATTAAAGAACCCGCTCGTATAATAGTACTGATAAATTATTATCGATTTTGGTAAGAAATACCCCGAAAGCAGATGGATAGTGGAACAGAGAGTGAGGTACATACATGGAAATTCAAATCTTCCTATGGTCACGTTAAGCGCCTGCTTAACCAACGTTCACTATCACAGAAGTAAGCAGATGCGGTAAAAGTCATTTCCAGTGAAGCAGAAAGCTGCATATAAACTTGTTTCAAGTAATAAACAAGCTGCATGCATAAAAGCAAACGTACATGTAAGAGTTGAACTTCAAACTGCCAAACGCGGCCATTCATCGACACTTCAACGTTCGTTGATCTAAAGGAGGACGTAATGATCTTCGACAGGGAAGCATGCAAACACTCAGTCAAGTTCCCATGGCTGCTTGTAACACTGTAACATTTGAAGAATTCAGCAGTTTAGCTATTCAACATTTTCCTAATCCACTTGGACTACTTATACGTCAACGGACGAAAAGCATGTAATATATGCACGCATATTAACTTACCATCGACTGCGATCGACCCATTCGCGTGTTTTGTCCCAATAAACCGGCTGCCGTTCGAAAAAGACTTAAACTGCGTAAACGATTTACCACTAGGTAACAGTAGTCTTTTACAGGGCTGTGACTTACAAATCCATTCTGGTGGACCAATTCAACTCAGAGGCTGCGCTTTGAGCTCATCTTACCGCCGAACTGCTTGTTGCCGTGGTGTTGAGGGCTTCCTATGCATACGCCTTAAATTTATCAAATAACGCTCGAAGAGAAAGGGCGAAAACCTATTTAATGGTCCATGACGTTCTTCCGGAAAGTGAACAATGCACCATGCACGCCATTTTATGTAGGCCTTATAGTAATTCATACTCTCAGTGAATATTTTAGGTAAGCGCTTAGAGAAAAATAAATAATCAGGTCCAGATGAGATTCCAGCAAAATTGCCCCATGAACTTGCCAGAGAGCTGGCTAAACCGCTATCCACGACGTGCCAACAATCGTTCGGTACTGAAATTCTTCATCCAGATTAGTAAACAGCAAACATTACACCGCTTTACAAAAGCTGTAATCGTACAGTTGCGAACAACTACAGTTCGTCAGTCTGACCTCCATATGCCGTAAGATAATGGAGAGGATCATCAAAAAGGAATTGATGACATATTGTGAAACGCACAATCTATTGTCTAATGCACAATATAGCTTTCGTAGGAGAACATCATATTTTAAAAACTTGCTTTACACGATGGAAGGCTAGACAAGGGCAACTGATGCAACAGACACCGTACATTCGGCCTATATTGATTTTCGGCAGGCCTTTCGACAGTGTTCCACATCAACGTCTCCTGCACAGGTTGAAACTGCTGAGTATCGGAGACAAACTTCTTACGTGGATTGAGAATTTCATCGCTGGTCGTTCCCAAACTGTGTGTATAGGACGACAACAATCAATGCTGGGACCGACCCTCTTTCGCTTGTTCGTTAATGATTGTGTTCAGGAATTGGACTGTAGGTGTGCCATGTTTGCAGATGATGATGAGGTTTTCCAGGAATATCTTTGTCGAGTAAGGGATCGATCAAAGAGATGAGTCTTGTCCTTTAATTCAAAAAAATGCACTCTGCTGCGTCTGGGAAGTTGAAAACCGGCCCCTGATGTGCGATCCTACTATTTGAACGGAATCCCAATCCAAGAAGCAGAAATGCAGAAGGATATGGGCATCCTCACACCTACACAATGTTTTAAGCTGGCTTAAACTGCAACTTCAATGCTTTACGCCATCAAGCGAGCATTCCCAGTTTTTGAATCATTCTCCTCTATTACAGAGACTTTAAACCACGCACTCACTTATTTTGAAGTTTAAGATCCAACGAGCATACCAGCTGCTAAGTCGATTGAGGCTGTCTTGTAGTGTTTTCCTATCGGCGTCAGACCTGATGGCTCTCCAGAGTTTGACATCGGCAGCAAAGATGGTGAGGCTGGAACTCGGGTCCTCGGCACAGTCGTTCATATAGGTTAGGAAGAGCGGTAGCCCTAAGACCGAGCCTTCGGGCACGCCACTTAGAACAAAACTAATAGGAGACAACGTACAATACGACGACAGTCATCACTTCCGCTCAGGAAATCCGTATCGTTTGTAACACCATCACTCACTGCATCGTATGCTACCTTCTTCTTGTGTACATCTTTCACGCAACATCTCCCGCAGCCGTAAAACGCATTAAGATTCTTCACTTGATGCATAAAAGCCCTGACTGGGAAATCGGAAATAACAGCTGAGACGAAAAGATAGAGTTCTGTCTAAATCATCAAGATGCCATGCATGCCTAGACAACAACAGCTCGCTTACCAACGGCCTTTAATGCGGCTGAACATTGTACGGATTCCCTTTCCCACAATGAATTCCATCACGGGGGCCTAAGTAAGTTAAACCCTAGCAACTGTGATCCTTAGACCATGGTTATGTGGGATGCGATGTGGTCCGGCCGGGTAATAGGCGATCTAACGTATCCCAACATGTATAAGGTAGTGGATAGTATAAGGCGTGGAAGGCCGTAGTGTCAGGGAGAATTTACTAAGGTAGGAACAA